GAGGACATTTGGGGAGGAAAGGGCACTCATGTGTCTAGTCTCAGGTGTGCTTTTGAGATGGCTATGAGGGATGAAAGGGAGGCCCTTGGATGTTGGACCTGGAGCTCAGAGGAGAGGTCTGGCTGAGAAGGGTCACTTGGGGGGTATGGGCATGTGGATGACATTTTAAGTTGGCCTCACAAGCTTGGCTGGGAGAGAGTATGCAGTCTTCAGGAGTCCCTGTGTTTAATGGCCCAGGTTAGGGAAGGGGAGCAGAGAGGAACCTACCAGAGAAGGAAGGGGAGGAGTCAGGGATGTCCAGGAGAGAGCAGTCAGAGGACAGTTGAGACTTGGAGTCAGTGAGGCCTGAGAAGTACTGGGGACAGGGGCAAAGGTGGGGCTGGAGAGAGCCAGTGCTGAGTAAAGACTGGGCATGGTGAGGACAGGCATTTCCTCCTGGAAGTTTGGCTGAGAAGGGGAATGGATGCAGGTAGGACCGAGAGGGCGAGGAAGCTCTTCCATCACAAGAAGAGACCTGACAATGACCTGTCAGTGGTAGAGATCTGGGTTTGGGGCTGGACCACCAGGCCTAGGCTGGCTAAGCCCAGTCTTTGTCTCTCCAGGAGCAGGTCAGTCAAGGGGAGAAGTTTCTACAGCCACTGGCTGGCTGGGAGGCAGCTGACCTGGGCCCCCAAGGAGCACGCTTTCTGGATCTGCAAGCCCAGTTGACTGAATTCTCTAGGGCTTTGGCCCAGCGGCGCCAGCGGCTGGCAGATGCTGAGAGGCTGTTTCAGTTCTTTAAACAGGTAGGTGAAGATCCTGTCCTCCATGTGGCCAGTGGGACCAGAGAGGTGCTCTTCTGCCACATGTTCTTTTTCTTTGTCCTTAGTCTGACCCCAAAATCCAGCCACTGGGGATGTGGATTGGGGCCAGGATCCTGTGGGATGGGGAGCCAGTAGAGCAGCAGAAAACTCCATAGGCACAGTGGGGTCCCCCTTTAACTCCTTTCTGGCCCTGGTGTTGCAGGCCTCAACATGGGCTGAGGAAGGGCAGCGGGTCTTGGCAGAGCTGGAGCAGGAGCGTCCAGGGGCTGTGCTGCAGCAGCTGCAGCTGCACTGGACCAGGCACCCTGACTTGCCTCCTGCCCACTTCCGAAAGATGTGGGCTCTGGCCACAGGGCTGGGCTCAGAGGGCATCCGCCAGGAATGCCGGTGGGCCTGGGCACAGTGCCAGGACACCTGGCTGGCCCTGGACCAGAAGCTGGAGGCTGCCCTGAAGCCACCACCGGTGGGTAGCACAGCTAGCCTGTGTGTCAGCCGGATCTCCAGTGTACCTGCTCCCCCACCCCTGAGGAAGGCCTACAGCTTTGATCGGAATCTGGGGAAGAGTCTCAGCAAACCCACCCATCACTACCACCATGCGGCCATTGTCACTCCCTGCCACGGTCCAGAGGCTACAGGAGATGCCCAGCCCCAGCCATCCCCTTGTGTGCTTCCACCAGGCAGCTCTGACCCCAAGAGTCCCAGCAGGTGCAGGCACTGGGCAGGGCAGGGAGGGTAGTAGAGGTTGGATGTCTTGGTCCTGACTCCACCTACCTGGTAGGCTACAGCTGGTGCTGGCAGAAATGGTGACCACAGAGCGGGAGTATGTTCGGGCCCTTGACTACACTATAGACAACTATTTCCCTGAGCTGGATCGCCCTGATGTGCCCCAGGGCCTCCGTGGCCAACGCGCCCACCTCTTTGGCAACCTGGAGAAACTGCGTGATTTCCACTGCCATTTCTTCCTGCGTGAGCTGGAGGCTTGCACCCGGCACCCACCCCGAGTAGCCTATGCCTTCCTGCGCCATGTAAGTCCCATAGGCCACATGGCCCCCAGCTGATTTTGCCACATTCCCCAAGGAGCTGTCAGCACATGCTAGGTGTGAGGCCTGGTACTGAGTACAGCTATGAGCAAGAATGACAAGGTTCCTGCATTTCACGGTGATTTTAGTTCAGGAAAGGAAACATAAAAGTGAAAGAGATACTTTTAGATATAGTTGGAACTAGGAGAAAAATAGGCAGGGTAGGTGCTTGTGAGTTACTTAGGGGCGGGGGTTCCCACCTTTGAGAGAGCAGTTTAAGAAAGGCTCTGCAGAGCTGATGTTTGTGCTAAGACCCAGGGAGGACCTGGAGGAACAGGGTTCCACTTAGAGGAAAGACCAAGTGCAAAGCACTAGCAGGAAAGAGGCCTGGTAGTCAAGGAAGTGAGTAAATAAGTGGCTGAGTGCAGTGAGCAAGAGGATGGTCATCTGACGAAAGGTGAGACCAGAGATGTTCTCAGAGCTGTGGGAGGAACAGAGCTGAATACAGAGGCTCTGGCTAAGGGTGGTAGATATACTCCCCAGAGCACCTGTGGATGCCTCCCTCAGCACAGGGCCTGTTCTTGCCAGACCACCCCTCGTTCAAAGCAGGGAAGGTTGAGTCTTTTGAGGAGGCCTCCCTTGGAGCCATCTGTTGGCATTTTGATCCTTTTAAGCTAAGAGTAGTCTGGCCCCCTGGCCCCCTGGCCCTTGGGCTGAGCCGTGTGTCCTTGTAGAGGGTGCAGTTTGGAATGTATGCGCTCTACAGCAAGAACAAACCTCGTTCTGATGCCCTGATGTCCAGCTACGGTCATGCTTTCTTCAAGGTAGGTGAGCCTGAGACTGTAGGAGGAGTAAGGGTATGGGGACAAGACCCCAAAACCACTCAGTGGTCTCCTATCCACCTGGCAGGACAAGCAGCAAGCACTGGGGGACCACCTGGACCTGGCCTCCTACCTGCTGAAGCCCATCCAACGCATGAGCAAGTATGCGCTGCTGCTGCAGGAGCTGGCACGGGCCTGTGGGGGTTCCATGCAGGAGCTGAGTGCCCTACGCGCAGCTCAGAGCCTTGTGCACTTCCAGCTGCGACATGGCAACGACCTGTTAGCCATGGATGCCATCCAGGGTTGTGACGTGAGTTATCCCAGGCTGCACTGGGTGGGGGCAGTAGATGTGGAAGAAGAGGACAGAAGAGGCTGGGCACCCACTGGGCCCCAATTTGCAGGTCAACCTCAAGGAACAGGGGCAGCTGGTACGACAGGATGAGTTCATGGTGCGCACTGGGCGCCGTAAGTCCCTACGCCGTGTCTTCCTCTTTGAGGATCTGCTGCTTTTCAGCAAGCCCCGCCGTGGGCCTGCAGGAGTTGATACATTTGCCTACAAGCGATCCTTCAAGGTAGGCCCATCTGACCCCAACCCTTGCCCCTTCCCTCCACCCACTGCCCCTTCCCTCCACCCCCTACAACTCACCAAGCCCCTCTATCCTGGCCAAACAGATGGCGGACCTTGGTCTCACTGAGTGCTGCGGAGATAGCAATCTGCGCTTTGAGATCTGGTTCCGCCGTCGCAAGGCCAGGGACACCTTTGTGCTACAGGCCTCCAGCTTGGCCACCAAGCAGGCCTGGACAACTGACATCTCCCGCCTGCTCTGGAGGCAGGCTGTCCACAACAAGGGTGGGTCTCTGCCCCCTACTTCACCACACTCCCCTCATCAGAGAGCTTATGTTGTTGCATTGGAGCCCAGGGAGGGCCTGGGGACCTGGAAAAGCTTTGCAAGAGGGTAGGAAGCACAACTGCAGAGACAGGAACTTCAGAGTCAGGCAGTCCTGCTCGTGCCATTGCTGACTTTGGGCACGGCATTAACCTCTCTGAGTATTGGGGGTCTCATCACCCAAAGAGGAATTATGACAACTGCCCTGCAGGATTGTTGGGAGGAGAGAGCTTGGCACCAGAAGTGCTTCATGCACAGGGTGACTAATCTGCTGGATGTGGATATATAGCAAAGACTTATCATTGAGGGGTTATATAGAGGCCAAGGACAAGGCTAATGTCCCGACGGGCTCTGCTCATACCCATTCTCCATCCAGAGGTCCGCATGGCTGAGATGGTATCCATGGGCGTGGGGAACAAGGCCTTTCAGGACATTGCCCCCAGTGAGGAAGCTATCAATGACCGCACCATCAACTACATCCTAAAGTGCCGAGGTAGCAGGCCGGATACCGGGGGTAGGGGTGAGGACAGTTGTATGGGAGGCACTGAGGACCTCTGTCAGCCCTGGCCTGTGCTACCCTCAGGGTCTCAGGCCAGGCCTGTCCCAACCTGACCTTCTCTCTTATGTAGAAGTTCGCTCTCGGGCCTCCATTGCTGTGGCTCCGTTTGACTGTGACAGCTCCTACCTGGGCGTCTCAAGCAGCACCCTTCCTGGAGACCCTGCCTCTTGCTCTGTTCTGGGGTCCCTCAACTTACACCTGTACAGAGACCCAGCTCTTCTGGATCTCCGCTGGCCCCTGTATCCCCCCAACTTTCCAGAGGAAGCAGAGCTGGAGGCTGAGGTGGAACTGGGCAGCCAGCCCTCTCTGAGTATGTCTGGGCTTAGCCAGAGGCAGGAGGGCACAGCTTGGAGTCTGGGCCTCCCCTGCTAGCAGCTCACTCATTCTTCCTCCCCAGCTCCTGAGGACTCAGAGGTCCTGTCCCAATGCCCGTCAGCCAGTGGCTCCAGTGGCTCTGACAGTAGCTGTGTGTCAGGGCAGGCCCTGGGCAGGGGCTTTGAGGATTTGTCCTATGTAAGTATCATCTTGCCCTGTACCCACCAGCCCTTCCTCAGTCCAAGCTGGGCCTATGACTACCTTTCCTTTAGGCAGAGGTGGGGTAGATGGGCCAGAACTATTCCCTAGAGACCTCCCTAGACCCAGAGTTCAGGAAACAGGCAATCACGCCTAGCTTGGTACCACAGGTCTGAGCCCAGGCTCGAAGACAAGCAGTGCATCCAGCATCCTGTAGCTCCAAGGAATATCACCTCTCTGGATCTGCTGTGACCAGGGCATGGCTGGCACCTGGGCTATCTACAGCTTACATGTATAGCCCTGTTGACAACTCTTTCTGATATCTGTGACCATGGGACAAAATGGAATGCGGCTCACCCAGGGACTGCTGTGGAGTCCAAAGGAACATCCTGATTCCAGGCTCCTGGCCCCATGTCCACTTCTGTTCCCTCTCCAGCTCCCACCCCAGTTGCGGGTTAAGAATAAGTTAGGTAGAAATGGGCATTTCTATGCTGTAGGCTGGTGGGGGATCATATGGTCCTGGGCAGTGACTAGGCTGTCCACACCTGCAGGAGGAACACAACTGGGCTCCCAGTAGCTGCTCTTCAGTCCCTAGACACAAAGCTGAGATCTTTAGACACAGGGCCTGGTTTGCTCCTGTTGTGCCCTTACCCTTGCCTGTCTTGGCCCAGCCTCCTTTTCCCTGGGGAAATTTGGTTATTTTGATTTGATGCCTTTTGAATAGCTTTCAATAGAGTTGTCTAAAATTATCTTACTGGTTGTTAGGCTTTTGGCATCTCAGAAAAGGAGTCTAGGCCTTTGATTTGTGATTTACTCTTTTATTTGTTTATAATAAAAAAATAGACTTACAGTACCCTTAGGTGGACACACACATTATGGTGATATCTTTGGTTAAAATGAGCCTTGGTGGGTGGGCACATGCAGGGCAGCATCTCCGGGCACCCTAGCCTTCTTGTAAGTACTTTCCCAGGATAGAGTAAGAGACAGACCGAGAAAGGCCCCTCTGGATGAGCAGGTCCACGCAGCGGCCATATTTCCTGGCGAAAGGGAGCGTGAGCTGGAAGGAAAGGCTAGTCTTACTCCTGATTTCCTGGCCAGTTGCCCACTCCAGCTGCATTGGAGTGGGGGAGGGCTCCCATCTGGCCAAGGACAGGGATAGAGCAAGCCCCATTTTCAGGAGTCTTTGATGCTCTAGGTCTCAGTTTGGCCCAAAAGCGTCTCACAGGGTTGTGGCTAGGAGTGATTACCAGAGACTTGAGTAGAAAGACTAGCCTGGAGGATGAAAAACCATGTTTCTTATTATTGGTTTTCTCCTGAGTAGCTGGAGATATAGCATGCACCAAAATGCCCAGCTACTTTTTTCTTTCTTTGTTTTTGTAGAGATGGTGTCTCTCTCTTGTTCAGGCTAGCCTTGATCCTCCTGCCTCAGCCTCCCAAAGTGGTAGGATTATAGGTGTGAGTCAATGTGCCTGGCTCTGGTTTTCTACTTTCTAGCCATAGATGCTGACTTCACCTTTACAAACAAGAGATAAGCCAGAGGCCTAATAGCAATTGGGTACTAGTTTGCTTATGGTGAATAGTATTATAATAACATACCTGATTATGGAAATGCCAAATTAATGAGAAGTTAGCTAAATCTTCCCCAAGCATGACCAGGGTTGTTAGTGATGAAAACACAGTATAATTGGAATGATAAAAACCAGTGGCCCAAGTACTGCTTTTTCACTCCTCTGAAATGGTTATTTCAGTCATCCTTTTCTCCCTCTCTGGGTCTAGAGACCAGTGGCCTAGTTGCCTGCCTAGCCTTCTGGGTGTCACTGGCCTGGTCCTCATGCAGCAAGACGCAGTGTTTAGCTGAGGCATCCACAGGGCCGCCAGCTCCCAGGGGGTGCAGGTGGCCCTCACCTCCACCCAGCTGTACAAGCGTTCCTGGGTGTGCCGGTCATCCTTGAAGCCGCTGATGGCCAGCAAATCCACCACAAACTGCTTGGGGCTGATGTGCAGGGTCTGCCAGGAGAGCCCACAGTTAGGGCTCAGTAGCACCTAGCCCCTCAGTGAATTGCAGGGCAGTCTTCCCTGGGCCTGCAGAGCCACAGGAGCCAGAGGGCAGGCTCTGTTACTCCAATCTGTCCCTTGGCTGAAGCTTGATCCAGATGAAACTGCCCTGCCTTCCTGTCCCCATCCTTCTTGCCACCCTTCTCCCCCTAACCTCTTTCTGTTGCTCCTCCCGCCCCCATTTTTACTTGCTTCCTCTTGTCTTGAACCACTTATTTCAGGGTCAGGGGAAAGGTGGAGAAGGTACAAGGTGCCCCAGGACCTGGGGCCTGTCATACATTACCCACAGCCGGTTGGCCAGGGAGACCACCTTGGCTGTGATAGCTTTGGGGTCCTTTTGCCTGATGGAATCCAGGATGATGTCAGTCAGGAAGCGGTGACATTTCTGTGCATAAAACATCTCTTCCCAGGACAGAGAGAAACTCAGGAAAGTCACCTCTGTAGGAGAGGGAGAGTGGATATGGGCACATCTGCCTGCAGCTAGGGCCTTAGAGACAACCTGAAGGGAGGGGAGAGGTGACCCCATCCCAAGGGACGCTTTCTGCCTGAAGTACCCTAGGTGGGGCTCAGGCATCTATACAAGGTATACAGGGCTCCCGAGTCTCACCTCGGGCCTGGGGGCTGGTTTTGGGTGGCGTATGCCCAAGGTTCTCCATATGTGTGGTATAGATGATGCTGTCCTCAAAGAACATGCAGGAGCCATCGCTGCCCACCACTGGGGGGTGAGTCACTTTGAGGATGACCCCTGGGCTGTCTACTTCACTGGCCTCAGGCAGAAGCTGCTCAGGAGCATGGCTTTCTGTGAAAACAACATGGGGAGGGAGCTCTTCTTAAGCCACCTAAGAGCCCAAGCAGGGAGGGGATCAGGACAGTCCATCACCTCAACCTTCCAGCAGCTGCTTTCTCTAGGTTCTTAGAAGTGACACCCTGGACTGCCAGGGTCCTATTCTTGTCTCTCTTTTCATTGCTCTGGCATCATTGCAAGTCAAATGCTGGATTTTGGAATGCCAAGGAACTCTCCAAATTCCTTTGTTGAACTACCATGTTTCCCTGAAAATAAGACACTGTCTTATATTTATTTTTTCTCAAGAAGACACACTAGGGCTTATTTTCAGGGGATGTCTTATTTTTATTAAGTATAATACAGCAATCTGCATTTATTCAAATACAGTTAAGTCATCTTCTGGAACTTGACAGGGGGGAGCTGACCTTGTTGGTGGGGCTGGCGCTAGTGATGGGTGAATTCCTTTCCCCTAGCTGTTAGCATGTGCACAATAGGATGCCTTCGACCCGGTTACCTCATGTGCACCCGCACAAGTGCGAATGGTTCAGACAAAGGAGCTATGGCAGATAAAAGGTATTCCAGTCTTCCTTACTGCTCCACTCCGAAATGCATGGCCACACCCATCACTAGGTCTTATTATTGGGGTAGGGCTTATATTTAACAAATGCATAGACATCCTGCTAGGGCTTATTTTTTGGGTAGGTCTTATTTTCAGGGAAACACGGTAAGGCTGCTATCAAATAGAGCTGATAATAACCCAGTTGGGGACTGGAAAGGTTTATAAGATTAATAATGAGATGAGCTTTGGGAGTCAACTTTTGATGTATGCCCATTCCAGAGGAGTGGACATTTGCTACCCCAAAGCTTGACAGATCAATTTAGGGATCAAACAGTCCAAGGAGGTCCTTCCAAGTAGAGCCTGAGCCATTAAAAGGGGAAGTGAACAGAATACCATAGGAAGGACGTGGAGGGAGCAGAGGAAACAGCTTGGCATGGCAGCACACTCCCTAGCCAACATGCATTCTTCTCAGTCCAGTCTCTGTAGACCCTCCTGCCTCCTGGACTTTTCCACTTGGATGTCCCTTAGCATCTCACATAATATGTACCCTTCCCTAAATTCTACTTTTGTCCACTCACCTCTGCTGCAGTCTCCCAAGCTGGAAACCTGGCCCCTCCTTGGCCTGTCCTCCCAACCTTCCCTGGTTTAGCTTTTCTCCCTACCCTAGAATGAATTCAGTGGCTCCAACACTGCCCTTCCTGCATTTCTTCTACCCCTGGAGCTGACTTTCCAAAATGCTCACCTGGCCAGTCCTCCCTTGTTGAAGGAAAGGGCTGCCCACTTCTGTCAGCCTCAAAACAGAGTAGCACATCGGGGGCCTAGGCCACAAGGCCTGTGCTGAGGAATTGTCTTCGGCCTCATCTCATCATGTCTGCACAGGAAGCCTGGCCTCCAGCTAGACCAATCCCCTGTACTTCTGCTGACACCCTAAGCATTTCTTTTCCTTCCCTCTGATTCTCCAGCCTCCTTTGTGCTCCTACTTCACAGGCCCCCCCACTTCACACCACACTCACCACTTCACCTATATGCTCTTTCAGTGCTCCAAGTCATGTACACCAGTGTGCCAGTTATTCCTCTATCTGCTACCTGGCATAGAGCTGGCATTGGTGAGTGGGAGTGTCTAGTCCCCTTTGTCATGAACTTGCTCTGAGGTTTTGCCCAAGGAATTTGCCTTCTCTGTTGTGAGATGTAGGTCAAGGATGGGACAGACTCACCTCTCTCCTTTGGCCTCTGCTTGCCCCAGTCCTTCAGGGTGATGGCTCTTTTCATGGGGAAGAAGGGCTTAAAGTTTGGCTCTGGCCCCTTGTCTTTTGCTCCAGCCCCAGCCCCTGCCTGTGTGCCTGGATCCTTCTCTGAGGCTGTGGAATGATCTTTCCAGACAGCCGAGGTGCCTGGCTGGGAAGCAGCCTCACTTCCCAGGGGAAGCTGCAGACTGGCCTCCTCCAAGGTGCTTCCCCGGGGGGCTGTTGGTGACTGGAATCCCCACTGTTTGCAGTTGGCCATGTCCCACTCCCTCACCAAGGAGATGAGTTTCTGCATGGGGGTGACAGGAGGTTCTTTAGTTTCAGATTTCTGTGTGAGGTTGACTGTGGTACACTTCTTCTTGGGTGGGCTCTCACGGTGGCCCCCCCAGTGTCTAGGGTTGGTACATAAGCCAGGGCAGTGTGAGTACGTGCTGGGGTTGCCTGCCCTCTTGGTATTTCGGCACAGGGAAACCTGGATGGATCGGGTGTACTGCTCAGCCTCCTCCATCTGGCTGGACCTTGCCAGGTGTCCCTTGGCCTTGTTCCATGGAGTCCTGTCACTGCAGTCTTGGAAGTCCACAGGCATGTAGGCTGTAGTCTAGAGAGGGAA